GACTACTCAATTCGCATTTGTTATTTTGCTCCTAACTACACGCACATCCAAAATGTTTTTCGTCTTATTTTTCTTTTCTTTCTTTTTTCTTTCTAAATATCCGCTGAAGGTGACATGTTTTACTAAAGACAAAAAAAAGTAAAATAGTGCCTTTTCGTCTCGAGGTCGCTTTTAGATTCGCTAATGGAAGAAAATTATGTAAATTAATTACTGAACCCTAAGGGAAGTCAGCTTTGTCATAGTCCTCGTGAATGTTCCCGAAAACGTCCCCGACAAATTCCACCATCCTTGGGTAGATTTCTGATTTTTTCTGTAATCACGTTTTGTTACTTTGCATATTCTACATCTATTTTCTCTGGTTTGCCTGAATACAGCAGAAGATAGAAAGATCCCACCTTGTCCATGTTTCATTTCCGTGCCTATATCAGAAATGTTGTTTAGAAAACCCATACGCTATGACATAAATAATGTCTGTATGAACCAGGCTTTGGTTGAAGTTTCTCTGTTGCTTGTTTATAATGATGGCATCTTTGGTTGATGGGACTTATAAAGCCACGTGGACATCACATTTCTACATCATGCTTGACATCATCCTTGTGACAAGATTTAATTAGTAAAAAACTGTTTTTTTTTAAAACTGTCAAATGGTAGTTTGACATGTGGCGGAGGGTAAAACTTGGTGTACACTAAGCAAGCATGATTGTTGTAAATATACTTTCATCGACTATGCATGCTTGTTTCAAGCATGTCCTTTTCCCCAATTTTTAATTATTTGACAAATTTGTAGAATGAGCTGGATTATGGGTCAGAGGAGTCCCCTCAAACTGCAATGCTATCAACTCAATCAGGAACACCCGTATCGTCTAATTCATTAGGTCCAGCAACTATAGGACAAGGACTGCGATCTGGGAATCCCGACAACCAACCGAAAAACTCCGTTTTCTCAAACGCTCTCTCCAGTCCTGTTCGTAGGACCCTTCAGCACTATCACCTGACTCATGGGAGTTCCCATGCAAACAACATTAACGGACAGAGAAACAACGAGAACACTTGTCACCTAGGCAGGGACCCTAATCCACCAAGCTCTAACGACACTTCAATGGACATGCACGCGGATAGCCCTGGCCATGATTCTCCATACTGAAATTCTAGTAGAGTTCAGAAGTCCGAGAGTCGACACACTTGTGCAGGAAAAGGTTGTGCTGACAATGAATGCAATGTTTAACAGAAAACGTGTGGTCTGAACGGATTTGGTGCGGTGTTGATTGTCTTGGATTCTTTTCATGTTGATATTTATGTAGTGTTTCTCCCTTCCCTTTTCATTTCTTATTGCTCACTAATAGTGTCAATGTCAAAGATAATAAAATGTAGTTTAATTGTGTTGTCTTTAAGGTTGTATTTAGTATCTTGGAAATGACTTGGTTATAGTGTTGAATTTTTCTTGGTTTGTAGCCTTCGTTTGCAGCAAGGTTTAAACATGCTCTATGTAATTGTGTTACTAATCTTGATTTTTTATTGTTCAGTTGTGTTTGCCAATACACAGTCTTTCTAAGCTCATATTTGGTGTAGATTGAAATCGGATTTTTAGTAGATTTTGATAAATGTTGATTAAATTTGGTCGAAAAGTTGTTGATCCAATGAAATGTATAGTAAAATTAAATGTTGACTCCAACTGGAAATTTTGATTGCATTAGATGTCCTTAATTTTTACTTTTCTCATGACTTTTTCAATACCGTTCTCATCCATTGTTTTTATTAATTACATCTTATTCCTGACAGCCTAGGTCAATTAAAGAACATTTCTAAGAAGGCTAAAAGATTTATTTGCTCGTATTAAGCAAAAACACTAATACAAAAGTGCGATTAAATAATTTGATCTTTATTTTAAAGCAAGCTAACAGAGTTTATGGGCAAAAATTGTCGTCAAGGATTATATACGTTAATTAAGAAAATGTTGAAAATAAGAATGCGATTTAGGAAAGTTGGAGACATTATAAGTGTTAAATAAGTGAACGTTATGAGCAATTAAAACGTGCGCATATGTCAAAAATGTCGAGTGAATATGTGTATGTATATATATAACCTTTAACAAAAAATAAAAGGGTAATTATATTCAAAGTTTTTATTACTTTACAATTCTTTAATTGCACTTGTGACTTAAAATCTTCTCATTTATATTTCTTGTTTCTTTAGCTTCTTTCGACACGCTGTTATCTACAACATTTCATTGATTAGCATATTTGGTTGCATCATATTTTAACAGAAAAAAGATGCAAAATTGAGGCGAAGTATTTTTTTAAAAGCACGTAAATAAAATATTTTGACAAAAATCATCACCAAGGATGGAAAGTTTTAATTATTGAAAGATTAAAAGAAGAATTATAACAGAAAAAAAGTTAGGGACATAAATGTAATAATCAGTAAGGATTGAGGACGTTAACTAAATTAAAATGTGAAACATATAAAAACTAATATAAGAGAGAATTGCAGAATATGCTCTCTATTCAGAGTTAATTTACACTTTACACACCTTGTTTATTAAATTTACATTTTACTCCTGCGCTTAATTGACTACTCATATTAATAAGATTGATCTTTTAAAATGAAACCCCCAGTTTTAACAATATTAATCTATACTTTTTCAATTTTTATTAAGGGGCTATAACCTATTTAAGTTCTCAATAAAACTGCACACAGAATTAGATGGTGACAATTTTTAGAGTACTTAAAAACCCAATGTGTAACTCTAAGATCTCACGACATAGCTAAAAATGACTTTCTTGACACCAAAGCTAAAACTTAGTCCATATACGGTAGGTAGGAGGATTTAATATTAGTGGATGATATTAAAAAGGATAAAACTATCATATTATTGAGTATAGCAAACCAAATATGCACTTATTCTTCACTGCGGGCATCTGATGAGTTGCTTTGTTGGGATTATCCAGTACTTGAAATACAAAGCATAGATTTTTAGAACACGAATGCTCCTGGAGATATAGGGAATAACACTGTTAAACAGTGCCAACCCTGATTATAGAAATGTCAACCATATATTTTATAGCATGAGGAACCTTTTGTCTCGCGCTAACTATTAAAACTATCCAATAATAGAATACATTTATCTTAGTATTTGATCACAATCATAGATTTTGGAAGTTATTTATGCATACATGCTATTGAAAAATGAAAAGATCGCCAGGCAGGTAGCTGAAATTTATGATGCAACATGAATTTCAACAGCAGGACACGAAACACGAGACATTGAAATAGACACTCTTATTGAACTACATCATCGGCAATTAGAGGGGCCTTTTGGTCTCGACCTCTCACCATTTTATGTAAAAATGAAAAGACTCCTACTTTATAACATATTCCTGATAATAATATCAACTACATTCAGGCTCGTCTTTTCTTCCCGGACAACAATGGGAAGATGGGGAGGGGAAGGAGGTTCTTGCTTCGCTTGAGACATCTTGTGTCTTCCCCACATTTAGGAGGAGTTCAATTTTTTCTTCCCTGGAGACACGGAGGAGGGTGTGGGCGGCAATTTTCTTGCTCCACTTCAACAAGTCTTTCAGAGTCATTGTAACGATTCAAAATTTTCACATTTGGAATCATCAATACATGTACCGTAAAGAATACTTTCATAAACAAAATAAAAACATAATATTTTCTCAAAATGTAAAGATTTAAAATTTGTTTAAAGAGAAATACGATGAACATTACTAAAAATCATTAAACTACATAATTTATTCTTTCTTTTCAACAATGCAAGCACAGTCCACCCCCAACCACCTCGAACTCACCTTTTTAGTTACATATAAAAGGTTTAACACATACGTGTGAGACATAATCTCACTAAATGAGTAATAACGAATTTCATCTCGTATTTCAATCCGGAAAATCATAACATACATATGGAGATACGGGGAATTAAAATCCGAACTTCGTGGCATAATTCTCGTGCATAGCGTTACTAAACTCCGATCATTTGAGCTTACACATATAGGACTATTATCATAATCATAACTTGAATTTTCGTATTATCAAATTTATAACATAAATTTCCGTAATTTAAATAATGAAAGAACAATTCATACTACTATACTTATAGTTGTACGGAAGAAGATCAAAGTAAATCAAAAAAATCGTCTTGTTAGACTCACTCCAAAATTCTTCAGACACCGTACATGCTAACCTTTATAATGTGAAAGTGTATGTAAAAGATGAGTTAAAAGAAAGGAAGTTATAAAGTACAAAATTAGTTGTGTACGAGTGTAAGTGATATGAGGGGACATAAATATGGGGTCTCTAAGATACAAACTCTATTGCCTATTTTGGAACAAACATTCATTACCTTATTAATATCACACGTTTTTCCATATAGAGTGTAATCATCACTCAAATAATTAACCAATTAACTATATTAATAAATATATAACGACTACTAATAAACTATTGCCATATAAATTAAACATTGAATTGAATACTATATTAATAAATATATAATTGCTGATAATAAGACATTGCCATATAATTAAAACATTTGATTTAATTATGCCAAATTAAATATTCTATCATACCATATAAAATGTTATATTACTAATTACAAATGCATATATAATGTTTCTAATTTTTAATAGATGAAAATTTCTCTAATTATAATAATTAGCCAATTAATAGGTTAATTGACATGCAAAATTTATATCAAACGATGCAATCACATTTAATCAAAGTAGAAATTAAGTTACTTTCCATAATCTTTTCATTGACTAAACATGACAATTCCATGATCTTTTTTCACCAAAGTTTGAAATTAAAAAAAAGTGCACATTGGGTCCTTCAACTATGGAAAGTCATCAATTTGATCCCCTAAGTTTCAACAGCTTATATTAAGGTCTCAAATTCAAGATTGATGACTATTAGGAGTTCTTGGGGTTTTATAGTCATATCCAGGTTTGAAAATACTCGTTTACCTCTTTCCCCGACGACATGGACTAGGAGGGGAAGGCTAACAATTCTTTCTCCACTGCGACGCTTTCATGGTGTTTCCCGGGTTCAGAAGAAATTGCTTCCTTTCCCCTTCCCTGGCTATGGGGAGCAGGAGGACTGGGAGGTTTACAATGTTCTTGCTCCACTGCGCAGCATTCTGGATCGTTCCAAGGTTTGAAAGAGCCTTCCATTGATTTATGCTGATTCATGAAACACAAAGTTCTTCAGGTTGAGAATCAACACATAATTAGAACTGTCATTGTAGAAACATGATACAAAAACATTAAAGAATAGCCAAGAGATCGAAGGGGAATGAACCGTGTAGGCATCAGATTTTGCAAATATTTCATTGCTTAAGAGACAAATTTTTATTTTTGTTTAGACTTATCAGCCATATTTCTTTTGATATGGGAAAGTTCGGTTGATTTGATTGGCCATTTTTATGAAAACAGGAATAATATAGCTTATATCAAGATGTAATGTACTTTAACAATTGAAACTACAGTTGACGTACTAACCTCACTTGTAACATGGTCAACGACGTGTTCAAGCAAAAATTTATTCGTACTTTGCAATGTCTTGCTATTAATCATTGACTTGATTCTTTATTCACTAAATTAGGGTTCTAACCTTCAATTGCAATCCTAGTTTGATGACTATGGATCCTAGGCATTCCATACAGAAATTATTTCAGGCATATTCTAATTTGGTTTGCAACAAATGATTCATGTAGCTAACCCCAACTATATTGATAATAAGATTAGCTTTTAATTGCTCTTACAATTTACTACTTTTGTACAACCACCAGAGTGAAAAATTACAATAGAGTAATTAATAAAAGGCAATGGGAGAGTAAACATTAAATAGGTTTAAATCCTTTTTACAAGAATCTTCCCTCAATCCACCAACCTTGAGCCTCTCCTATTTTTCCTCCTAACATTATTGATCCCTTTACTTTTTTTTTTTTTTTCTTCAACAAAACCACACTGATGGAGCACGTGACGAAATTGGAAACAAGCAAACAGTTACACATTTAACAAACAAAAAGATACACATTTTAAGTATAAGAAAGAGGTGAGGTTTCATTTTTAGTTATTTTCTTTAATTGGTTTATTTTCTTTCCACAAGTAGTATGTTTGAGTCAGGAAATTTTCTACTTCTGTTATTTGGATAACTTATTATTTTTAATCTTGATTTTAAGTATGACTCCGAACTACAGATTTCGAATCATGTTGAATATTTGTTTTGATCACCGGGTAATAATGAAATTCCCCACCCACCCACTATAACCACCACCTCTACTCCCCCAATAATTTTTGTCTCTCTTTTGCTTCTCTATCTTCTTCTCACTTTCTCCCTTCCGTTCTTCATCAGAATCTCTCTCAATCAGCCATGTGCAGGTAGTGAGATTGTGATTTTAGATGTATATTCATACTCTACAAGTTTCTATTGTGAAGGCATTTACATCATACTGATGGACAAAAATTGTTATTACAGAATTGAACGTGATTAAAATCTCATTGAGCATTATATTTTGTGAAGTCTCAGGGAGGGGATCAGCCAGCACAGGATTTAAATATCTCCTATATCCATCATATGGCCTGCTAACACGAGGAAGATAATTATAATATAAAATGAAATAATATACTCCCTCCGTCCCATTTCATTTGTCCCAAATTATAGGCCACCTTCCTAGTAGAAAGTATAGTTAGATTTCTTAATTTTCTAATCAGCCCATATTTAACATACCTTGTTATCAATAAATATGAACTATTCTTATTTAAACTATTATTTAATGTAAGGGTCTATAAGGAAAAATTTAAATAAAATTTATATTTCCAATTATATTAATTACATTTTCTTAATCTATGTGAAAACGGAAGCAAGACTATATTTATTGGATGGAAAGAGTATGTAAAAGAAAAGAATTACACACCTCCAGCCAAAAGAAAAATCCTCGTAAGGTTTTCAAGTTACTTCTTCTGTCATTTTCGAACTTTTTCAGCTTTCTATGAAGATCTGTATGCAATAAAGAGTATACGAGATTACACATGCAAAAAAAAAAATCTAAGTCAGACAAGTCTAGCAAAAATAGACATAATAAACACTCGGAAACAAAAACTTTTGGGACTACAAAAATAGAAGGGAAGAAAGCATTTTAAGCAGATAAAGTAATACACAAATGGCAGCGTTGACAAATTTTCCTCAAGGATAATTAATCAAAGCCAATCGTGTAATTAGTTTATTTCTAAAGCAGAACTCGTTGAAATAACAACATTGGCTAAAAAATTCATGTAATCACCCTCCCTTAGTGCACATTGTCTTCGACCATGGACAAGGGCTTCATTCATGTAAAATATAAAAATCCATGCTTGTTACTTTACTATTTTCATCTGTCTTCTCGCTCACACACACTTTTGTGGTATGTCATTACACTAACCATACCTGCAGGCAGCCTTCTCGTTTTTTACTTTCTTACCTACCCTACCTTTTCTATTGTTTAGGTTCTTTCAAGGTGCATGTTAAGCCAATCAACAGCAGGGAAATCTTAGACAAGTTGCATTCAGCATTCTAATGTGCAAAAACAAAATGAAAACTCAACAGAAGACTAATAAAGTTTTAGATTTTACAGATTTCAGAAACATCGCTATATCGTCAAAATTATATAAGCAAGTGTACAAGTCGAAACTAAGAAATGAGCTATTCCAATTTCATTTTTCATTGATGTATTCATGCTTTTAGGAAGGTAGGTTACACAGGAGAGGGGGTGGGGGTGGGGGGGTGTCTTGCAAGCAGTGCTGACATTTCCTTGAAACCTCAATAGCTATAGCTTCACAAGTTTTAACCAGAATTTTTTTTCTTTGTAAAGTTGAAAATATTGGTACATTTCCTCTGCTCGAATCTTGTTCAAACCTCTATGTCCATCAAGCCAAGAAAAAATTGTCACGGAAACATGTTCTCCTGAAGCTAATTAACTCGGATGAATCGGGCTATTACAAACGAGAAATCGAAATAGAATCTTTCACCAGAATCCAAGAAGTCAAAAAACATAAAACCAAAAAATATATTAAAAAAAATAGGAACGTCTAATCAGTTCAGATGAATGGTGAACAATGACATGCAACTACAGCAAATATAGATGAAGCAGGCAAAACTTTAGCATAGAAATAAAGCAATCCAAATTCGTAACTTGGAAACTAGGCCCTAACTTCACGCTGACAAATATCACTGCATTACATGGCTAAACTGGAATGTCAAAATACAAGGAAGTTTTGCAGTACAAACGAAAGGCTACACAGTCTTCAACTTACCAGGATAGTAATTAAGATAGGATTTCCCACATAATTTTTTGGTCCTTGTACATACTCCATTTCTTTCTTCTGTCCTTTGGGCTTTGACAGCTTGTCGAAGCTCATCATACTCCGCTCTGTTGTATGGCTTTCTCATAATATTTATGACCTTTTTTCTGAACTTAGAGTGGACACCCAAAATCTGGAAGTCGTCCTCATTCATCTGAGTAAAATAATCTCAAGTAACTAATAGTTAGTAAATTTTGTTTCTGCAAATTTGGACAAAACAAGAAAAGAGAAAGAAACAGGGGAGGGAGGAGCGACCATACAGTAGCACAAAGGAATTAAATTATGAAAAAAAGGCAACGTACGCTTTTGTCTAATTTATTCGAAGGCAAGATGGAGACATAGTTTCCTTCATTGCAAAATTCAGCAGTTTCTAGGACTTCCAAATCACTAGCACTATCATCGTCCTTTTTCTTCTTATTTTCTCCACCATCTTTCTTATTTGCAGCCTGTACATCCTCTCCACAATTGTCTCCACTGTCAAACTTGACATTACTCCTTAAATTTCTAAGTGTTGGTACCTTGTGCTTCTTAACACCTCGAGTTTGAATGTCATGCCGACTTCGTTCCTGCAAATTGTGCTGCCTTTGTGCCTTCTTACCAGTTCGAGATTTCACCTGAAGCTCCACCTGATTCATTGTTTCCCAGTTATTCCCAAGACTAGGCTTCTCGTTTGCAAGCACATTAAAATCCTTTGTTTTATTCTGAAGCTTTGAAACACAAACATCGTCGGAACTACCCGATTCTCCATATTTAATCACCATAGGTACACCATTTTTCTCGACCTCAAGCATATAGGATTTCCCATTGAGTTTCAGTCTACTCAAAAAGAGTTCATATTGAGGGTCATTAACACTAGTCCTCTCACTCTCCTTGCCAACACTGTTAGGTGTCTCTCTTTTTCTCTTAAGTGAGTTAAATTTTTCCGCCTCGCTTAAATGAGTGAGCACAAACCACCTGTAATCTTTATCCATATCTGACATTTCTTTGAGTTGTTCTTGACCTTCACCATCCATTGCGTATGAGTGTACCATTCTTAGTCTTTGACCTCCTAGAAAGCACTAAATCATTCGAAATATCCTACCTATTTAGATCCATCTCTACAAATTATATCACTTAATCTTCAGGACAAAATGTTGATCAACAGTAACTTTCTTCATTATTGCCTCCTTAGAAAAATATTTTTTACTAAACCCGTTCAATTCTGTGCATTGTTTCCAGAACCTTTACTGCGCTGCAAAAATAAAGCATGATTACCAATTATTAGTCAATTATTTTAAATAACTTTTCGTACAGTACAAAAGAAATACAATATGTTTCAAGATTCATTTGCATACATTGATCACTTCTATAAAATCATTAACATATCTAGGCTCATTTAATGTCAAAATCAATTAAAGAACATTAAAAGGCACATTTATCACAATGTTAAAACATATGCACACTTGATAATAAATAACGGATTTTCTACCTACATATGAAACATACATCTATGCCATTACAATAAAATAAGGGTAATTAAAATATACGTGCAGATCAATTCATGACATTTTACTCGTCTTGCATGTGATAATAAATCATAAACAAGGCACATGGTAAATAGGAATTCAGAAATAAAATAATATGGGTTGACGGGCAACATCAACCCTATTATATAAAATGTTTTTCCCTTCATAAAGACCTATGATGCTCGGACTCAGGTACAGGTATCGGGTACGTATCTAAGTGTCGAATATTTTATTTTCTAAAATATAGGATACGGGGATATTAAATGTAGGATACGGGGACATAGCTAAAAAGAGTCCAAATTTCGGACACGGGTACGTGGGTACGTCTTTCAAACTTCAATGTTTTTACTAATCCAGGATGTCATTTTGAATAGATCAAAATTAATTATTCACAATGAAGAAAATGAGTATTTAATAAGGGATTAAGATGAATAAAATAGAATTTTGAAGTTTAGTTTTCAATTATGAGAAATACTAAATATTATATAAAATAGAAAATGAGGATCTTAATTGCAATTTGACTTAGTAGAGTACTATATGAACTCATTTTCATTTTATACAAACAAAGCCCTAAACCACCGATACAAAGAGAGAAAAAAGGAAAAAAGAAAAAAATGGAAAAAAAAAGAAAGAAAAAGAAAAAGGAAGTTAAAATCTAGCGCCGCCGTCTTTCTCCACCCTCTCGGCGACGACGCTAGATTTATAAAGAGCAGAAGTGGTAAACAAGAAAAGGGAAAGAAAATGAAAAGAAAAGAAGGAAGAAGAAGTAAAAAGGACGAAGCGTCCGGTTAAAATTTGGAAGATTCGACACATATCCCATACTCATGTTGTGTCGTGTCCGACACGAGTACTCCAACTATTTCGAGGAGTCTGAGCATCATAGATAAAGACAAACAAACTTAAAAATGACAGATTCCAAATTTTAAAAAGGCATAATAGGGTACTTAGACGTTTTCCTTAGTGACGAGAAGCATAAACCCCAAGGCATTGAGGCTAATCCCTGACTATAAAGAATTAGAATGTTAAGAAAACTATTAAACAAAATAAGTGCATTGTAAATTATAAACAATCTTCAAACTCATAATAGAACAATTCAAAATGCCCCAAAAAAAGGTAAACTAACATAAAAGAAAATATTACTTTCGTTGTGTGACAAGAGTCAGTCTATTAGAAACATAAATTTTGAATGTTTTCATGGACAATAAGTTGTTCCCAAAAAGGGTTGATATCACCTTCATTAATGTTTTGTGCTCCCACACCTAAAAAAAGTCCAAAAAATTAAGAAGTGAATGCTTCACAAGCTTGAGGTGGTGTTGTGAGATGCTTGTATTGCTCGGTTTACATAACGACCACAAAGCTTCCCCTACAAGCCCTTTCACATAGCGGTTGTTCCGTCCATCAAAACTTACATAGTGTCCACTAGAAGCATTTAACATAAGTTCCTCAAAAGAGAGGTGTTGGATTCGAATAGTAGTGGCCGCAAAGAAATCCACCTGGGGCCAATCCTCAATGGAGAGTACTAAAGCTAAAGATGCACGAAACAGCCCCTAAGCCAAAGGGCTTATAGAGAAACATTTGTGGTCATTACAATATACCTCTAAAAGCTACCTTACAATCAGCGATAAGAAGCGTAAAAAAAAAAAAAAAAGCCTCACTTTGATGTCGCCTCAATTGGGTTTCTTTAAACCATGCACAATATTTAAAAGCGGTAATTAGGTACTAAGGTGTCATGTTTTCTTGAGGTTAGGAGTAAACATCAAGGCATTTTGAGGTGTAAGCCTCGCCGTAAATAAAAAATACATGAAAAATAAGAGCATAATAAATCATGAAAAATGTACTTCATAATAAAAAACTGTGTAAATAAATAAATGAAAAATATATAAAGTAACAAAAAATAAAATATTACTTTAGTTGGTGAGGTGGACTATTCCCCCAAAAGGGATCTTTGAGAAATTCAATTTTTTAATGTTTTCACTCGACAGTGGGTTGTTCACAAAGTGAATCAACTAGACTTTTTAGAATTTTTTTGGGCCACGCCTAAATAAAAGCAAATAAGTACACATCAGAAGCCATAAGGCAGTATTATAAGGCATATGCATCCTTTCATTAAGCCGTATGCATCCAAAAACTGCCTCGCAATAAGGCGTTTTTTATTCGCCTCATTCTGAGGTGGGCCTCAATTGGAATTTTTAAAACCATGATCCTAGGTTGTATTGACACATGCTGGACACACTCCATATGCAGCCAAAACAAAAGGGGCACGAAAGAGTAGGAAAAAAGGAACACAATAAATATATGCGTGTGTGTACACACACACACTTGCTAATTGCATGATGATAAACTGGAATCAGTAGAAAATATCACTTAACCTATTCAGTTTCTCTCAAGCCCAATCTTCAAAAGCCAGAACCTTGGATATAGCAAAATCTCAACAAACTACACATGCCAAAGTGATGCAACTATAGAAAATGTAGAGCTTTAAACAAAGAAATTGTTCATTTATTAAAAGAAAGTAAAAAATGATAGTAATAAGAAGGAAGGAGGACTTATTAATTCGTGGAGGGCTACTGAAGATATTTGATAAATGAGGATTTTAACCCCATTTGAAACACAAGAAATTTTCTCAATAGGAGAGCTTCAGAGTGAGAAATGAATTTAGTCGACTACTTTTAAGATTCTAAATAGTGTCCATTTTTTGTTGCATTTGACAAATATACCATTCTTTTTTCAAAGGTGTAGCCAAAATCTCCCTTTTCCTTATAGCATAGTGTAGTCAGGATTCAAATTCATAAATTTTGTTTCAGGAGAACTTCAACAATATGAACTCTGAGGGACTCGATTTTTCAAAATTAAAATACCAGTTTTCCTCAAAATTTGAATCTTATAAACACATTCATATAAATTAGAATAAGGAAATGCATGAGTAATTCTTAACAGCATGTTCATTTCAACATATATCACTTCCACAAATACAAGGGGCTTTTAAACATCAACACTTTGTGAATAAACTTTCTTCTTTTCAATCTCAAATACAAGGGACTTTAAGCACACAACGTATATGACTTTACTCATTTTTCATTCCATTAAACCAAGAACCCTAGCCAAAAGTTCCAAGAAAAGATAAAAAGAGTCGTACCTCAAGTTAGGGTTCTCAAATTGAAATTCCTTCCTTCTCCAATTAAATAAACCATAACTCGCGTTTTGAACCGAAGGTTGCAGGATTTCTTCTTTCTTGGGGGGAGTGGGAAGCAATGAATTTAGGATTCCAGTGATTGAAATGAGATATTTGCGGCAGTGATGATCGTAGGCAAAGAAACAAGTTTTCTGTCCTATGGATTTAGGTCTGGAAAATGGGTTTCGGACCTTAGGTTGTGGGCATTGGTCTGACGGGTGTCTCCATGTGTCAGGTGTTTGTTATTATTTAAAAAAGGTGAGAGAAAATAAAAAACAAAAATTCAAACATTAAAAAAAAAAAGTTACAAAATTCAAAATAAACTCAAAATAAATAAAAAGTACAAAAATATATTTTTCTCTTATTTTGAAGCATAAAAAAGATTTTTTGATATAAATCTTTATCAAAGACGAAACGTACTAATTGATGGAATGTTGAAAAATATTTTGAAAGTAAAAAATATTGTATAAAGTGAAGTGGAACTTTTCAAAAAAGTGACAAATACAAAAAAAAATAAAAATAAAAAGTGAGAGGAATTCAACAAAGTTGTTTACAAAAATGATAATGTTAAAAAGTGACGTTCTGTCACCTGTCTTTGAAAAAATTGCAATGTCTTATTGGAATAATTAACTATATCCATATGTGTATGCTTTTGAAAATTTAAATATATGAATTAAGACCTTGCTTTACTCTTACATGTAATTTATATTTCTTTAAATTAATTAATTGATGCATCAAAAATGTTTGCGAGAATGAGAATATGAAAAAGTGACGTTCTGTTACTTTTCTATGAAAAAATTGACATTTCGTCAATTTTCTATTAAAAAAAAAAATCATAGCATCTCATTGGAGCAATTAGTTAGGTACATACGTGTCACTGATGCTCTTTCCTTGTTTGTTCAGAATTCTCATATTCAAAAATGGTAGACATAAAGAATCCTCGAAAGCTCGTGCCATCATGATCACATTCCATCTAAAAGGCCACATTATCCCTTTTGTCAATGTAGTCATTAAATTTGCTTCAGAGGGCATCGACATCACTTTTGTTTCCCTCGAACTCATTCATCGCCAGATTATCGAATTTCAATAGAACTCCACACAAACTGGCATCTTTAATGAAGCAAGAAAATTTGGGCTCGACATTTATTATACAACAATTAGTGAAGCAAGAAAACCATAAATGCTTTTGATATCGAGCAAACAAATGATATGAACGAACATTAGAATAACATTCGAATCATCTTGGCCAACACGTTTATATGCAATGACAAAGCATTAGAATAAACAAAACAAATTCAAACCTAAAGGTAAATGCACAACCAATGATGACATAATTTTGCATTATAGCTGGGAT